CCGGACACCACAGTTGTCGCGTCGCACCGCAACAGCTCTACACTGGACGCGACAAAGCGACCGTTGCAAATCATTTTAACTTTGTTTCAGTACGTCATAAATAGAACAAGGCATCAGTTTAATGTTGAGTTTTGTCGCGACGCGCTACATCCAGTGTACACAGCGTCACTGATTATAATGGTTTCTGTATTTGCCGCTCGCGTCCGGTGTAGACACTGTGTTTAATGTCGTTGGTCCGCAACCTTTGGGTTACGAGTCCGACTCTCTAACCATTAGGCCACGACTCCCCCCCGTACTACCCCTGATCTAAATTAATCAATACTGAATTGAGATCGAAATTGAATCAAATCGCAAGCTTGTGAATCAAAATTGAATCGAATCGTGAAATTTGTCTTAATACCCAGCCCTAGTCAGGATGGGCATTTTGTCCACTAGTTGAGACTTTGGTTGACTAGGTTTTTTCAGTATTCTATGAGTCAATTTATTTGTTGAATATTTGTCAGTAACCGTATTGAAGCACCTTGCCTAAGTGTTTATTTATCTCTAAGAATTTGTGTAATCATATCCCCAAATCCCAAATGGGTTCATACATATTATTTCAGATCTGCAAACACAATGAATGTGAACTGTTCTTGTGCCAATCCTCAGATCGCGAGAGAACACGGGATTCGCTTCTTCGAGACAAGTGCAAAAGCCAACATCAACATCGAGAAGGCGTTCCTCACGTTAGCAGAAGACATTCTCAGAAAGGTGAGTTCGGGAATGACTGACTGATAACACCATTGGTATTGTGCTTTTAAGCGAAAACATTGCAATGCAAAAGAGCATCGATTTTGTGTCATTTGACTCATAAATACACTGTCGCAGCCACTGATCTCTCTTGTATATTCAGTGCTCGGTTCTTTGCTTTTGGTGTTCACTTTTCTATATAATATTATTCCATTTCTAATAGTGCACAGAGCAGAAATGAATCTATGGATTTTTTTATGATTCATAATGCAACAAAACAAGTCACCATCAGCTCACTGAATCGCTAGTTAGTGGTTTGATTTGGATTGTGCTTGTAGTTTACATCAAATAGGGGTTGGAATAGTTTGTAATCTCATGATCCGATTTAATTGGAGTCATTATTTCAATTCGATAGTAAAACTAATAAATACACTAATTTCTGGAGGTCTTCCACAACTTTCATTTCTGGATTGTGTTGAGTCTCCAATTTTTTTGTAACCTTATTAAATGTGGCATCTATTTATGTCAAATGATGTGAAATAAGACACCATAGGGCTGGTACCAATTAAGTTAAATCAGTATCAACAAAATCCATATTTGTACTGCAGGAGTGGCACAGAAGCTGCATTTGAAGTGGCATTTAGATGTATTTACACACACTGTGCATTTACACTGCAATTACAATTGCATAAATAATGCTATATGAGATTAATGTTTTATATATAACATTTTAAATATAGAAATATTAAATTATGGGACAAACGTGGAAAATATTGTGTCAAAAATGTATTTCACTCAATATAATTGTTTAGTGAACTGTTGTAAATATAAAACCAATATCACATTTGCAATTGTGCTGATATTTGGGAAAAACAACACTCTTGCTTATGTGATATTTAGTAACTATATCATGTTATAAATATTATAAAACAAGAACTCGCACAGGGTCATTTTGTGCCTTCATATCTTGAATTTTGAGGCCATTTTTATAAGGTTTGGTGTCATTTTTGCCCCAAAGCCCCATTAATCTGTTTCCATTCCCATCTTAATATGTAGAGACAGCTATAAGTAATCATTCATAGGTTGATTCTCCTGTAAGTCTCGAGGTGCGTGATACTGACAAGAAATTATATCTCGATATGCGTTTTTTGATTACGATAATTAAACAATATTTTGCTGAATGTGTTTTTATGCTGGTACTTTGGCTGCTTTAGGCCTGTAATGGATAAATAAATATGACACTAAAACCACCAGTAGGTGGCAGTAGGTCTCTTGTCTGAATTCATTGAATCATTCATCATTGAATCATTCATTCAAACAATTTGTTCAAAACTGCTGATTCATTTAGAAATTAATCAAGTGACTGTTTATAAATGGATCATTGAATCATCGACTCAAATGATTAATTAAAAAACAGTTTCATTCAGAAACGTAACAGTGAAGTGTTGGTCTGAGATGCACAAATGTTCTGCTTCGGCTTTGTTTGTAACTACTTTCATTGACAAAACAGACAATATTGTGTCTAAAATGTAACTCACTCAATATTAACTTCTTGTTTGTTGAACTGTTGTCAATTGCGATTGCACTCACAATATTTATGAAAACAGCACTGTTGCTTGTGTGATATTACTTAACTATATAAATATAAAAACAATGGGGGGGGAAACTGCCATTAAGTCTCGAGATATGTTTTTTCAAAGTTGAACTTGCATTAATTTTACATGGCTTTCTAAACATGCGGTTCTCTTGTGCGAGACGCGAGTGCAACAGTGATAGATGTCCCTCTAGAAAATGTGCGAAATACGAGTTCTGTGTGAACGGCTTGGTTTTTAGTTTTGACGTAAACAAGATCTTCTCCGCATTGATGTTATCTTTCCCCGCAATATTTGTAATCAACAACACAGCAGCGCCGCATCTAGTGGCTTCAACTGGATAGGCTAACAAAAAAAACACTTCCAATAGTGTCTGTGCAGTCAAGTCGATAGTATTGGCAAAAATTGAGGCCCTGTTTACACTTGGTATTATGATGTGTTTTGGTCGATTGGATCACAAGTAGACAAGGGAGACACATTCCCGTTCACACCAGCAGTCACCTATAAGTTGTCAGCAAATTCTTTAAAATTTATCGGTATTTAGAACAGCATAAGATAAAAATCTGAAAATATAAGTAGCTATAAAATTATAGTACAAAATTATATATACAATTATAAAATAAAACACATTATAATGGCATCCTTTATAAACATCTAGCAATGCTATAAATGATCCCTTACAAAAAATTAAACGGATATTGTCCTCGTCACAGCTAGGGATGGGTATCATTAAGGTTTTAACGGTATTACTACTCTTACCGATACTGCTTATCGATTCAGTACTTTAACGGTATTCTTATCGGTACTTTTTGTTATTTATATATATATATATATGTATATATATGTCAAATTAAGAGCTGAATTAACATTGCTTTATATTCTGAAATGTAAGATAAATATTTAATGAAATGAATATAAAACATCAATTTGTAAATGAACCAGTGTGCTGGCATTTTTTGTGTTTTATACTGTACATAAGATAAGATACAGTAAGAACATGAACAAAGAAACAAAGTAAAACAAACTGACAAATACAATAAAACAAATATACAAATGAAATGAAATAAACAGTGCTTTCATTTTTCCATGAAGGTCTACTAACATTACTGTTCAGGCAAGTAATTACAGTAATTACAAGTAATTAAGTATTACAAGTAAATTAAGTAATTGCAGTTTTCACTGTATGTATTGATAGATTAATGCTAATTAAAGCTATGTAATTCAGATTTAAGAGCTGTGAGTGATTTTGTCTTTGCATTTTGTTGTTTGATTAACTAATGGCCCAAGCGCCAGTCTGTCACTTTAAGACAATATATTGACACACATCGGATTTTCTTTGTCATAAAGATAGGAGTAAGACATCATTTGAAACTGTAAAGGGTTTACTTTTATTTATGTATACTCACAATAAGAACAAAACTGCCTTTATAAAATGAAGAAAACAAACAGGATGTGTCTCTTTTTCCTTAAACTTGTGGTGCAGCCATAAAAATGTTTTGTTTTGGTAATTTGTTAATTATTTCACTGAAACACATTTCATGTAGGCCTATTTATTTTATTCCTATCATGTCATTTTATTCAGTTTTTCTCTGTTTTCTCCTTTTGTTTGTGTATGCAAAACTAAACTACTGAAAAGAAAAACATTTAATTTTAGTTGGTCGCATACACATCAATTGTAAATTAATTTAAATCTAATTTAACATTCTAATTGTGTTGGATAGGAAATGAACATTGTAATGTTTAGGAATCAGATCAGTCAGTGGAGCAGGGTTTCCGTGGGTCCTTAAAGTTTTAAATTTAGTTATCAAATTTAAGGCCATAAAAAATCTGAAATGGTACAGGAAAGCCTTAATTCTGATTTCAAGAGGTCTTTAATTTGGGGATGGAAAGACAAGAATTGTGATAAGGCTTAATGTGACAATTAAACTTCAAAATGCTATTGATTTCATTGAATAAAGCTGCTTTGTGAACTGCGGTTACCGGGGAAACACTATATTTCTGCCGTTCCGAAAGCTGTGCATTTTCAATAAGCCCTTCTGCTGGTTTTGTTCAGACCAATGCAAAAAAAATTGGCCCATATTTTAGATATATTTATGTTATTAAATTAATATATTTGATTGATAATAATTGTTTAAAGTAATGTAATCATTGATACTGTTGACTCATCTCTTTTCTTAAAAATGGTTTAAAGGCCTAAATGTGAAGGTTATCATTTTATAAAATTTTTGTTTTGTGAAAACCTGTATCTGAACTGTAAATCATGCTTTTTACAGTCATTTTCTGGTTTAATATGATACCATAGATATAGTCCATACTCCGCTTATATGGTATTAATTTCATTTGTGCAGGTCTTAAAAAGTCTACCTCTGGAAGTGGTCGAAAGTGGACAAGCTCAAAACGTTTTAGACTCCATTAACACCTGTATTTAGCATTGTCCACTTGTGATCGGATCACTGAAAATGAATCTTAATGCCAGGTGTAAACAGGGCCTAAGTGTCCCCAACTAAGCAAGCCAAAGGCCACAGTGGCAAGGAACCAAAACTCCATCAGCGGCAAAAATGAAAAAAAAAAAGCTTGGGAGAAACCAGGCTCAGTCGGGGGGCCAGTTCTCCTCTGGCCAGACGAAACATGGTGACTCAACCAGTGGTGTGAGTTTGAGACCGGAAACCAACCAGACCAAAGCAAGCTATCAAAACAATCTCAGCTTCACGCCAACAACTCAAAATGTGATGTGTGCAAAAGCAAAATCTTTTATTTGTGTTTTTGTTTTCATTCGCAGACGCCCGTAAAAGAGCCCAACAGTGAAAACGTGGACATCAGCACTGGAGGCGGAGTCACAGGATGGAAGACCAAGTGCTGCAGTTGAACATACACGCACAGATACTCACACACTTTACACAAACACACACACACACCCACCATCTGTTTCTCTATATCCCTCTCTTTCTCTCTCTCATTCACTCATTCCTCGTTTGTCTAACACTCTTCCGTTCTCTCCTCACGGGATTCTCTGTAAAACACATCTCTAATGTTTCTCACACTCACGACTGCTTACTGACATCATTTTTATTTCTGACAAAAAAAAATACAAATGTAAAGAGAAAGTCCTTTCATGTTTCTTCTTATTTTAAAGTTTAAAGAAAGAAATGAATTTAAGCAAAAAGTGCATTCACCACTACATAAAGACCGTCAGTGGACCTGGAGACGTTGTCTGTCGGCACAGAGGAGCGGTGTAGCGTTCAGTACGACATCCTAGACAAGACTTTTAGTCCAGGGGTTAGTGTTGTGTGTTAGTGTGAGAGATCTTCTCTAGCTGGGTTTTTTTGTTCTCTGATTTGATTTCTTTCGTCCGGTGCCTTAATGTAGAGCCTTAGAGCTCATCCCCCAAACACACATTTAAACATCACTTTTCTGTAACAGTTACGCACACACACACACACTGGTCCTCTCCTCTCTGCTTGCCCCCGCTAACTCAACCCAACACACCTGAGTGGAACCATCCGGACTCAACCTGTTTGCTCAGAAGAGAATGGCATTATATATATTTTTGTTTTTGTTTTTGTTTTAATTTAGTTTGTTTTTCAGAATGTTTTATGAATCTCCTCTGTATGTTTTGTTTTCCCTCACTCAGTTACTCATTCTCTCCTGCATGCTGGTTTCTTTGGGTTTTTTGGGGTCTTTTGTAAGTTTTGCCATGTTTGTTATTGACAGGAAGGATCTCTTCTAGTCCAGATACGTGTCAGGGAGGGGAGCGTTCTCTTTGGAAATTCGAACGATTTTGCAGATCCATTAAAAATAAGCTTGTTTAAGTTACATGTTGGTCCCGTTTATTCAAGCATGGAGAGTTTGCGATGTCGAGTGTGTGTTTTCAGGGTTTCTGTGGGTTTTTAAAAAGAAGTCTTAATTCACTCTTCCACAAATTAAGGCATTGGAAAGGGTCTTAAATAGGAGCAGAAGTTCATTAAATTCATAGTCATGGCATTAAATGTTGCATGCATTTTAAGAAAGGAATATTTTCCTCAGCCGTCCCCCAACCCATTCAAATATCTAAACATCCTTAAATCGATATACATTTACTTGAGATGCAAAATGAATAAGTCTTGTTTTCTGAGAAACTGAACAAAATTAAGTGAGTTTATGCTTAAAGCAAGAACAATATCTGTCAGCTGGGAATGAAAACTTGTTTTCCCTTTTAATTAAGTTGTTTTTTGTCTGAGACAAACTCACTGCTGTTTGATCAGTTTCTCAAAAAACAAGACTTATCATTTTATGTAATTTTACTTCTCAAATGTATCTTGTTTCACAGACAAGGCTTAAGCCTAGTCTTAGACTAAAATGTAAGTCTGAGCCATTTCAACTGAAAGAAACTTGCACTGACTGATCTTAAAATATATCAGTGCCTTTGTTTTGTCTCAAACAGCACACCAGTAATGTTTTTTTCCTAAGCACGTTTGTAAAAATTACTTAAATGTCCTAATTGAACTATGGCCTAATCCTGGCTTAGTCTAAGCCCTGTCTGTGAAAGAATTTTAAATATACTTTTACATAACCTGCAGAAACCCTGTTTTTTTTTTTTTGTTTTCTGTGAGGCATAAGCACCTGCAAAACCACTGATCAATACCTTTTGAGGAGTATTTCGAAACATTTTCATTTAATTGATCCTTGACGTATTTATTCCTTCCAGTCTGATAACATTCAATTCTGATGGTGCACATATAGTTTTTGGAATCTAAATCTTTCAGAATGGAATGTTTTAGTAATATAAAGAAAAAAAATGGTCAAACATTTATTGCGGTTTAAGTTCTGATCATAAGATTTCTGAAAATTGGAGTTTTAAATGAGACTGGATTGCTTGTAATTAATCAAAATTCTGTCATGTGAATATTATGATTACTGTAGTGTGAATCTGTACAGTGTATTTTTGTCTCCTCCTGGTGGCAGAATTACACGTCTCGAAAACGGAAATATTATATTATATTATATTTAAGTAAGTCCAAGTCCATCAAGTCAATTAATATAAGTCCAAGACTCTAAAAAAACATCGACAAAACAATCACTATTAATCTATTACTTTACTTAAAATTATAGATTTATATGTTATGATAAAATTTGATATAAAAACGCAAGGTACCTGTGTAAACAGCAGTTATTAGCAGTTTAAAATACATAGGGCCTATAATATATAAAAGTAACACATGCAGTTAGCATAAGCATGTTGTTATTAAGATGACTGACCGGTAATGGAAGTTTTTTTTCTTTAAATATACTCAACTCCACAATGTTTTTAATTTCTAAATTCTCTTTGCCGCTGATTTCTTTATTAGATGAAAAAAGTCAAAGTTACAAACGAAAGGACAAGTTATGAAAGTTGATCGAAAGGTGCGCGAAACCCATTGAAAATATGATTTTTTTGTTTAATTCAATTTTATTCATTTACAAACATATATAGAACTACTTTTAAAAGATAAACGGTTAGCTGTAGGCTATTTTACAGTGTGTAGGCCTACATTGTATTTATTTACATTCTCCTTCATTTCTGTGGCATATTTTCCGGTTCCGGTCACTCATTGTGTTGAGATGCGCGCGGATTGTGTTAAGAGAATGTCAATTTAAACGAATGGTTAACTCATCTAGAAAATGAATGAATCTCACTGCGAAAGACAAAATTGTATGCATTATACATATTTACGTTCAATATATTAAGTATTTGAATGCAAATGAAAGCAACGAAATATGAATAGCATAATTACTTGTGGAATTTCAATTAACCGTAGCCTATAGGCTATATCTCTGCTTGTTTTTCGGGGTTTGTCGTAATAATAGACCACACGATGGCAGCACAGAAAAAATTGTCTGAACTGAAGATGGGAGCTGCCTCGGATCTGAAATGGAGCAGAAGGTGAGTTTATATTCAGATGTATAAAGCGAATACAGCTGACAGCAGCCTTCAGCATCAACTAGAAATCAATTTCCATTGATTATTGATTAACAACACTGGATTTATGACAGGTGAAATATTCAGATGATACTGAGCAAAGTCAACCTTCATAAAACATTTTCATTAAAGCTTCGAGAGGAGAGACGGGGCAAGAATAAAACATTTGATAAAACCAATTCCCTTTATTGTCTGGAATAAAAATATCATCATAAATAAAGACATAAGAGCTGTCTTATGTTAGCTTCCAAAACGGTTTGTGTCTTTAATAGATTAGGCTACATTACAGTATATTTGACATATGAAGATACATTTAGAGACCATAAAAACCTTCGATGGGGTAGGCCTATAAATCAACATTTTAGCCCAGCACTTTTTAATTAAATTATTTAAATTAAATTAAATTATTGCAAAACAATTAAAGCATTAGCAAAAATGCCGTCACAAATAAGAAAAAAACACTCAGTTTAACAAGTTGATCTACTGTAACAAGTAACTCAGTAGCCTACGTCATAATTGGAACCTTTGCAGCGAAATTCAAACAGTAAAACAATTATGACGAACAGAACCATTCAAACCTCTAAAAGGTCAAAGGTAACGTACAAGAATTCAAAAAATGGTTTTGGCCAACGGATATTCTAATCAATAAATTGTATATATAAAAAACTTGTATACATAAAAACCCGACATAAATGTGACAATTATCGCCAACCTGACATTTATGGAAAAATACTCTTGTCCTGAGAATGCAGTTAAACCTTTCAGTCAAAACCCAACTTCATTGAATAGTTGACTCTTAAAGCATGTCACTGAAGTTTTGTGATCACCCAACAAAAAATAAATAAATAATATGATTGCATTGGAATTTTAGAGGGCAAAATTCACAAAAATGAGTACATTGTAAGAGAGTCGCAGTAGTAGACTATACAAACATACAAATAGCCTAATAATAATAATAATAATGTTAATATAGGTTATAAAAATATACTTATAGTTAAATAATCAATAGCTTTATTACATTAACGATAAATTTTTTTATTGAGCTTCAATTATTTAGCTCTATAAAACATGTAGCCTACCTAGCGTTTATAAACATACAGACTATAAATAATCACCCCTTTAAAACAACTATGAATGTAAAAACAAAAATAGTGGCCTCAATATAACCAAAAATATTAGCCACAATATAGCAGAAAATTTATTGTCAAGACAGCAAAAAGAAAAAAAAACATTTCTGTAGCCTCGCGTTTAGATCTCTGCCATTCAATGGGTTTTACAGTATCTTTTATTAAAAGTATATCTTTTTCATTTTTTTTTTTTTTACACAATACAGCCTTCATATTGGTTGGCTTTTTAAAAATTGTTTCATAAAAATTATTAAAACTTCTGTAATTAACATTGGTTTGACATAGCATGTAGCCTATTTTTGCATTGGTCAACTTTAAAGTGGTCATATGATGTTGCTAAAAATATATATTTTTTTGTGTATTTGGTGTAATGAATTGTGTTTAATGCGGTTTAAGGTTCAAAAAACACATTATTTTCCACATACTGTACATTATTGTTTCTCCTCTATGCCCCGCCTTTCTGAAACGTGTCGATTTTTACAAAGCACATCGGTCTGAAAAGCGAGGTGTGCTCTGATTGGCCAGCTATCCAGTGCGTTGTGATTGGCCGAATACCTCAAACGTGTGAAGGAAATGTTACGCCCCTTCCATACTGTGATGCCGTGTCCCGGCAC